GAACTATTGGTTGATTTGCTAATATTTATGCTTCTCTCTCTTCCTCCCTCTCCTCCTTCCCCTTCTCTCTAGGTTTTGGAAATTTTAGGAAAGAAGTTCCCCATTTCAGAGAATTCAAAAGGTTATAAAGTGTTGCCACCTTACCTCAGAATTATTCAAGGAGACGGTGTGGATATCAACACATTGCAAGAGGTGCGACTTTTCTCATTAATTTTGTGGTTGTGACGGCTCCTTCACTGGAGGCTTCATTGCCAAATTCTGCAGCCGGCAAATTCTTTCAAGGGAGGATTTACAGTCACAGACCTTATCTGGCTTGGAGAGCTGCCAGGCTGCAGAATTTGGCAAGGAGTCTGGGAGAGACACAAGCCAATTAAACGAACTAATTGGCTCCTGCAAACTCCACTCCCCTTTTGCTCCTCTTTTATTCCCTCTGGGAGGGGCCATTCATTGTTTGGCCTTACTCTCAAGTCGACCCCTGTTTTTTTAGCCGTGCCTTTCATCTGGCCACTCTGCGCATGCGCACACTGGGAACAGGCTCCAGCTGTTCATCTGCCTCATTGATGTCTGACTCCGAAGGCAGCTGATATCTGGCATACGGCTCTGGCTCCTTCTCTGCCTCCGACACAGAGCCCTTATCAGAGCCTTCCCCAGACTCCAGGACTGGCCCATCTTCCTCCCCAACCTCCCCCGCTGTCCGAATCTACTGCCAAGGGCCACAGCAAGCTCCTTGTCCGGAATGATATAGGGTCTCCTGCCTTGAGCAGGGGGTTGGACTAGAAGACCTTCAAGGTCCCTTCCAATTCTGTTATTCTGTCAATTTTTAGATGAGTGCTTCAGTTATCTCTTAACACGGGTGTCATTCAAAACAGCCATACCTCAGTGTGCGGTTCTGCTCTCAAAATCTGTCTATACAGCATGTGAAAAGCCTTTGAGAAATATTTTTCGTTGTCCCCTGAAATTTCAATAGGAAAATAAATTATCCCTTAGTAGCACAGTGCTTCAAAAGCTATGTTTGCACCGAATGGCTGAAACTAAAAGCTAAAATTGCTCTAGTTGCCTCCCCCCCGCCTCCTTTCACTGGAAATTTCCCCCTTCGATTTTTGATCCTTTGCGAGTGCTGTGTTGTCTTTTTATTGCAATTCAGAATATGTTCATTGGGTACAGAAGCTGACGAGGTGCCACACGTAATACGAAATCTCACTTGCGAAATCTTTCTTAACAAAACCTCGCCACATCCTCTTTGCTGTGAATTTCAGGAAGTAAAAAACGCACGCCCCCCTCTCCTCCCCCAAAAAAACCGCCTTGCAGGCCGGGTTGAATTCACTTTGAGGACAAGATACCGCCTCATATTCCTCTGCCGAAGATCGCCATCTTAGCCCCGTGATGCTTTTCGTTGATCTTGTTCAGGGTGTAACTTGACACGTGCAAAATGTTCTTTAATCCTCGGACAGACGCCGTTCAAAGGAAAACCACAGGTTTCTTTAGAAGGGGTGGGGGTGTGGAAAAGACTTGCATTTTCAAAATCTTCGCCTTTGGATTATACAGGGCGGGGCATAACCTTTTCCTAGGGGGTCACAGCAACACTTGTAATAACAACACAAATAATTCATACACCATTCGAAAGCCCATNTCTGCCCTCCCCAGCCCCCAGGAGCTCTCTGAAAGCCTCCTAAAGGCTATGCACGGCCATTTTGTTGAAGAGGCGGGGCTTCGGGAGGCAAAAAAAAATTGCTGTATCCGGTGTATAAGACGCACCCAGATTTTCAGCCTCTTTTTTTGAAGGGGAAAAAGGTGCGTCTTATACTCTGAAAAAATACGGTAGCTTGAAAACATTGGCGGAGCATCCTCAGAGGGTTTGCAACACAGCCCTAACAACTTATGCCCTAAATTAAAGCTGTGGAATGATGACATCCGTGAAAACGTGGCCTAAAAAATGGCAGCATGTAGAGAATGGAACGGAATTCTATCCCTGGGAATGAAAAGCTACAGGAAAATGTTAAAAACTAAGTTAGCAGCACTTGTTTAAAAATATGGGAGAAGAATTGCTGAAAAAAACACACAAGCGAACATCCCCGGACAGATATTCCAAAGTCCAGGATATACAGCTAGTCCTCAAACTTACAATAGTTCATTTAGTGGCAGTTCAAATCTACAACATCACTGGAAAAAGTGACATGGCCGTTTTTCACGCTCACGACCGTTGCAGCTTCCCCGTGATCCAAATACAATATAGCACTTGGCCACTGATTCATATTTATGACCGTTGCAGTGTCCCCCTTTTGTGAGCTTCTGAGAAGCCAGGGCAATGGGGAAGCCAGATTCACTTAACAACCGTGCTGCTAACTTTAACAGCTGCAATGATTCACTTAACGGTGTCGAGAAGGGTCGTAAAATGGGGCAAAGCCCCACTGTCTCTCTTAGCAACATAAATCTGCTCTCAGCCATTTGCTGACTCTCTGAACAGAACAGCCCGTTTATTTTATTTTATTATAATTATTTCAAAAATTTATATTGCCGCCGACTCTCATACAGCGACTATATAAGGCCAGGGTCTCCAACTTCGGCCATTTTGCGACTTGTGGACTTCAACTTCCAGAATTCCTCAGCCCGCCATGCTGACTGAGGGATTCTGGGAGCTGAAGTCCACAAGTGTAAACTGGGCCAAAGTTAAAAGGTAAAGGTGCCCCTCGCACATATGTGCTAGTCGTTCCCGACTCTAGGGGGCAGTGCTCATCTCCGTTTCAAAGCCGAAGAGCCAGTGCTGTCTGAAGACGTCTCCGTGGTCATGTGGCCGGCATGACTAAACGCCAAAGGCGGGCAGAATGCTGTTCCCTTCCCACGAAAAGGTGGTTCCTATTTTTCTACTTGCATTTTTTACATGCTTTCGAACTGTTAGGTTGGCAGAAGCTGGGACAAGGAACGGGAGCTCACTCCATTACGTGGCACTAGGGATTCGAACTGCCGAACTGCCAACCTTTCTGATCGGCAAGTCTTACCCACTGAGCCACCCTCTAACTGGGCCAAGATTGGAGACCCCCTAATATAAGGTGATATTTGGTTATACGCAGGTAGTCGTCGTATGAGGACTACAACTCAAGCATTCTGTTGCTAAGCAAGGCAGTTGTTAGGTGAGCTTTTGCAACCTTTTTGCCACCGTTGTTAAGCGAATCACTGCAGGTGTGACGTGAAGCATGCCGTCATTAAGCAAATCCGGCTTCCCCCATTGACTTATTGCTTATTGGAGGCCGGAAGGTCGCAAAAGGGGATCATGTGACTATGGGACACTGCAACGGCCGTAAGTGTGAGAACTGGTTAGAACTCACTTTTCTTTCGGTGCCTCTGGAACTCCGCGTACGGTCACTAAGCTGAGGACTGCCCATGATGTATGTTATAAAACCGGGGCAAGGACTGCTGAATTCGAATTTATAGCGTTCATTAAAACATAAATCGTCATTTTTCCCAGACGGCCGGAATCGGAGCATCGGCACATTTGGTGAACTTCAAAGGCACGGATACCGTAGCCGGAATTGCTTTGATTAAGAAGTATTATGGCACAAAAGACCCCGTTCCAGGTTATTCCATTCCGGCTGCTGAACACAGGTAGGTGTTTCATGGATATTTGACCTAGTGACCTTTTCTTCTAGTTACCCTTATCAGGTGACAGCTATGAAAATCTCCATAGATGTCTTCTCTCTCTGTCCCTCTTTCCGTCTCTATCATCTGCCTGCCTGCCTGCCTGCCTTTCTGTCCGTCCGTCCATCCATCCATCCATCCATCCATCCATCCATCCATCCATCCATCCATCCATCCATCC